TATATATATACATACATACATACATACATATCAAAATACTAAATCTAAATACCATATACACACACGCACACACACACACACACACACAGGTATATATAAATATATATATATATATATATGTATATCTTTTAAATGTGGTAAAGCGTTCCAACTTAATGACGTTGTCTCCATAGTGGCACTATTCAGTGCGAGATGTCCTTTACCTATGTATCTCGATAAAGCAGGAGAGTTCGCACGTGTATCTTCAATAGGGAAATACATCTGGTGCACACTTGGTGAGGAATACAAGGCGGGGATTGAAAGATGCCTACGCCAAGTCTAAGCACATAGACGTACCTGTGACTTTCCTCTCACTACAATGCACATTCTGGATGTAAGTTATCAGCTGGATTGTAACTCTGTGTGGCAGCATGACATGGGGAATGTCTAAAATAATGTACTGGAGAATATATCACATGCGGTAGTATATGTTGTCAACAACCTGATTATATGACATACGAGGAGCTTCCTACGAAAAATTAGAACATAGCAAGTGCGGGAATAGACTCTTTCGCACAGTTGGAAAAGCAACCGCGAGTATCGGAAAGCACTTTACCAGACATCTAAAAATATAACATACCACGTGTGGTAGAAGGGCGTCTTGCTGCACCTTGTTGAACCGGTGGATCTCGTCTATAAATAGAATAGTGGGCTTGTTCAGTAATTTGCGACGCCCTTCCGCTTCGGATAGGATCCGTTTTATGTCGCTTATTCCCGAACTCACAGCGCTCAGTTCGGCAAAGTGCATTGCCGTCATGCGCGAGATGATCTTGGCGAGCGTCTATTAGGAATGTACAGTGGTTGTTGTTAATTCCATAGCATGTCGTATATTAGAACTATTCGTCAGCATTTTGCGATTCTAATTCATCAGCCTTATCGCCACAATGATCAAATTACTCTAGTAAAGGAACACCAGCGTGTTCCTTACAGTGACGAACAATAATAACGCCTCTAAATTTGAAGATTGTTTATAACGGTGTGATGTGAACGATGGTTTCTATCAAGATAAGGTTGAATATAGGATATACATACATCTTGCTAAGGATTATATACCGTTTTCCCGGACCCAGGTCCGCCCCAAAGAATCAAACTAGGCAACCGGTCTTTCTCCAAGAGGACCCGAAGGGCACTGGACGGTCCAATTGACTGTAATTGAGGTGCATATGAGAGATTAATATTGTACAACGAGTCAATGAGGTGCATACGAGAGCCCAGTTTGATGCACAGCTTAGTGTAAATGAGAGATTGGACTGTACAATGAGGTGCAAATAAGAACCCATTCCACAATGCTATAATACGATGAGGTACATATGGAGAACCTATTAATTGTACAATGAGGTACATACGAGAGACTGCACAGTACAATGAGGTGCAAGTAGGAACCCATTTGCCAATATAATGAGGCCATGAAGTGCATATGAGGAACCGACGTATTGTACAATGAGATACATATGAGAGACTGAACTTGCACAATGGGGTGCAAATAAGAACCCATTCTACAATGCAATGAGATAATGAGGTGCATATGATTAGTTGTACTATGAGGTACATATGAGAGACTGGACTGTACATTAAGGTGCAAATAAGAACCCATTCTACAATACAATGAGACAATGAGGTGCATATGAGGAACCGATTCATTTTACAATGGCATACATATGAGAGACTGGACTGTACAATAAGGTCTAAGTAAGGACCCACTTGACAATACCATGAGACAATAAGATAAATATGAGGAACCAATCAATTGTACAATGGAGGTACATACGAGAGGCAGATATGAATGGCGACGTGTGATTGATCCTAGAACTCATCACTTTAGCGAGTGGCATATTGCTCTGTACAATTTGCGCACCCACTATCACCGCAACTCAACAAAACCCAACACATCCCGTCATACTCGTACGCGGAAGGAGACCACGCGAAGGAAGCATGCGTTCATAGCGGATTCACTATATAGTCCTCTATTTTAGAATTCAATTCGTGAGTGTGAACGCACACAAATATATGTCGCATCTACAATCCCATTGCCTTGCTAGACATACTCTGAGTTGCTCCACGAACACGTTCATATCCTTCCGCCTCATCAGCTCGGCGAGTGGCTTTCCTAACCATGAACACCCAATACCTTCCAATTCAATACTTTTCAACGCCACACACGACTTTCCGCTACATACAGCTGGTACGAACCCAACTATACGTGGCAACTACCGAAAATATAGGGTTAAAGTTTAGGGGTTTAGGGTTGTACATCACACATACGATACCAACTATTGCTGGACATACCTTCAGTTGGCCCACAAATCCATCCAAGTCCTTCGGCCTCATCCGTTCGGCGAGTGGCTTGGTATTTTGTATCGTCGCTGAAGTCCTCGGGTGTGCATTGCTAACGTTTTGTGTCATATTCTGATTCCTAATATACGTCTTGCTGTTGGTGTCATTGTTGGCATGGTGACGGTTCTTGTCACCGTTATTGTTACCGTTGGCATGAATACGGTTGGGTTGATTGCCATTGTAGGCATGTGTCTTAACGTCTCTTCCAGAGTGCACACGATCGCACTCACCGATACGCAACTGGCCTGTGTGGTTATCGAGGTTGCTCATGGCAGCTGTGTTGTGATGGATTCCATGTTTGTTGAGGTCGATTCTATGTTTGCTACTACTACTATTAGCGTTATTATTCTCCGCATGTTGATTGCTATTCCCGCCAGTGTTTCGTACTTGGCCGATGCTGATGGCTGCACCTTCAGAATGCTTGAATGTGACCGTCCCGTTATCGGTCCCGTTATTGACCCCGTGATTGATCCCGTTGTTCTTCCCGGAGTCAAGTGTATGCACCCCTATTTTTCTACTCTTCATCATGACTTCTGCATGGGCACCCATACGCCAACGTATGTAAAACAAATTAACATTTGAGAATAGTAACCTGTGTTTATTGTACATGCTTATTTGAGAATAGTAACCTGTGTTTATTGTACATGCTTCCGCAGCTGTAGAATAAACTCTGTGTGTTGAGCATCACTGGATATATCCATGCAAGTACACACAAATGTCTGTGTGTGAGTGTTCTGACGTACCCAGGTGGTATGGATAAGCGTGTCAGTCCTTTTATGGATATGTCCGCATAACCGCAAAGTATTTGTGCATGATGTATATTTAACTTACCATGTCGGCATACCGAGTGAGTCCGTATACACGTGCCAGACACCGTTGTTGTGATATGCAGAATTTATGTCGATTTTTCTTTATTTTATACTAGGAAATTTCGGTCCTTCCGATAACAGGACGTATTTGGGGAACAGGAGCATCAACTCTAAGTCCCAAAACCCAAACACTAAAATATCAACAGGCGCACATCCTTGCAGAGTCAAGAAGCGCGCAATTCGTTCCTTCCCGACTGCAAGTTTACACCAACAGGCAATTACTGTAGCTTATATAACAAAGATGAATAGGCACATGTTTAATTGGCATCTCCGTGTAGTTGTAAAAAAAAAGTAGCTGTCAAACCTTGTACTCTACAATACTATCATACATATGTCTAAATATGTGTGCCTGTACTCCCAGTGATATTCAGGCAACACCAAACCGAGACGTAAACATTGGTGGACTCGCGGGGCATTCACACCCGCACGACCCTTTGCACACCCCTGCCGTACCTCAGCTGGTTCTTTTGGTCTCAACCCTTCGTAGGACACAGGTAAACAACCTGATACAAACCTACCATTCACACACACGCTATATATCAAACAGAAAACGTGCCAGGATATGCACCTGTGAGTTCCCGAAGCATGTCGTTCACACCCATACTAATCTTTGCGCAACCCCACTGTATCTCAGCCTTTCCTACTCGTCTCATTTTTTTGTAAGACAAAATACATAGCTTGTTGCAGACTTTCTATTCACACACAACTCCACACACACACACACACTAACAAAAAAAAAGGCAACATACCGGGGTATGTTCTTCTAGGTCCTCGCGAAGTGTCTTTAACACTCAAATCAGCCTTTGCACTCCCTAAAGCACCCCAGCTTGTTCTTTTCGTCTGTTTTTTGGTGACTGCTTTTCGGCCCACCCCATTCATCCTCGGTCTTTTACTCGCCAAAAGGGTTGGCGAACCGGGGGTTCCCCTAATTTGGGTTCGGGGATACATAGATAGGGGGTGTGAGCTCAGAACCAATCGCGACACATACACGCATACGATGAGTCCGATGCATTGTACATCTCCCACGTGACAAGCAGAGCCATGTGTGCCTGGTGCTCGCTTACTCGCAATGGAACTGCCCCACACTTTCAGGACTTAGGTGGCTCTGAAGCCAAAAGCCAGTTGCTGTTGACCGTACTTGCGTGTGACAAAGTACTCTGTACTGTAGAGCCACATACCATTTCGCTTCGGAATTCATTCGCCCACTTAAAGATAAGGATGTTGTAGACGGGAAACATGAAGATGTTTTGGATTGTATAGCTATGTGACTATGTTGTTTACAGGCACGCGTGGACAACAAGTTGAACACACATACACACAACAAGTTGAACACACATACACATACACGTTTATATACATATACATATTATATATATATATAAATACATATATATATATATGTATATATAGATATACATATATATATATATATATATATATATATATATGCTATAACATATAGTATATATATA